CTTCTATGAGAGAAAACAGGCTCTGTGGATGCAGGGAAAGCAGTAAATGGGATATAGTAGACTTTAGCAAGGCTTTTGATACCGTCTCCCACAGCATTCTTGCAAGCAAGCTGAGGAAGTATGGGTTGGATGAATGGACTGCAAGGTAGATAGAAAGCTGGCTGGATAGTCAGGCTCAGTGAGTGGTAAAATCAACAGCTCACTGTCTAGTTGGCAGCTGGTATCAAATGAGTGCCCCCCCAGGGGTTGGTCCTGGGGCCAGTTTTGTTCAATATCATCAGCAACAACCTGGAAGATGGCACAATGTGCACCCTCAGCAAATTTCCAGATGACACCAAGCTGGGGGGTGAAGTAGATACGCTGGAGGGTAGGGATAGGATTCAGAGCGACTGAGACAAATTGGAGGATTGGGCCAAAAGCAATCTCATAAAGGTTCAACAAGGACAAGCGCAAAGTCCTGAATTTAGAACTAGAGGTGCATGAATATATCAGCTGCATACCAGATCAGCACCAATGAAAGGGAAACTTACATTATTGACTATCAGCTTTTTTTGGCCAGTGTAGCCAATAATGTTCACCAATAAATATAATTAATTGTGGCTTCTGGCTGGGGCCCTTGGATGCCGCATGCATGTGTGCAGCCACACCAGCATGGAGAGCAGCTCCCTGCAGGTAAGTCTGTGGAGGGGAAGGGTTGTGGCAGGGGACACATGGGAGGGCATATCAAGGCTCCCACAGTGAGGAAGGGAATGGGGCAGGGGCTGAGGCTGCTGCCCAGCCAGGACAGTGTATGGAACCTGGGGCCAGCGAGCAGAGAGGGATGGAGCTGTGGGCAGCTTGTGAAGTGGCAGCTCCCCGCCACTACATGCACCCACCCAGGGGAGGCATTGGGGGCCATGTGCTCCCCCAGATTTGTGCATGGGGTGGATGCAGGCTGCTCCCTGTGGGCTTGGGGCTCTGCTCTGCTGTTTTTACCCCGGGAGTCCCACGCCAGCCACACATCCTCTGCCCACCCAAAAGTGGGGGCAGCAAGTTGTGCACGTAACAGCAGGCAGCCCACATCTGCCCTCACCCTGCTCAGCTCTGCTCTGGTTAAAAGCTTCCCTGCGCTTAAGAATGGTGTAATTTGAGGAGCTTTAGTTCAAGTGCCTCTGCTGTCATTTTTAAGTGCCAGGACATCCTGCTCCCAGCCCTGGGTCCCATGCACTGCCCTGGCTGAGCAGCACCACCAGCCCCACTCCCTCCCTCACTGTGGAGGCCTTGATCTGTCCCCCCTCCCCCACGCCCCATCCCCTCCACACACTTAT